GATTATGATAATCTAATATACCATATAAAGTTATCGTAATCGTAAAGTAATATAACATGACAATACGATCTAAGGAATATTTCAATTTAACTCGAAAACATATCACTTTAGTTGACCCGTCACTGTGTAATAAAAATTATATTTATATATATATGTATTTTTATTTTTTTTGAAGGGGAGGGGTTCCGTGATTATATTTTATGCTTTAAAGGGGTCCATGGCACAGAAAAGGTTAAGAATTTATACAGTCATGTATAAACCATACCATAATATATTAACAGTTATTTGTTGGTATTGAGTTAAACTATAATTATAATTAGAGAACAGATAAAATAAAAAATGTTGGACCCCCCATAAAAAATTCCTGGGTACGCTCCTGACCATATCTATTGCTGATGATGAAATAAGTTCTTGGGCAATCGTATGAGGTTTCTTGCATTGTGCAATACGAAATGCTACTGTATATGAAGCCAAAAGAGCTTTAGATCGAACGCTTGTCTGTTTAACGAAACTAGAAGATTGTTTTTTAATTTTGCAAGTCTTACAAAATAATCACGTGATTTATTATTTAATGTACTATGATTAATCTCCAAATGACGTTTTAAATTATTGGGCACCATACTATCAGCAGCTAATATTTTCAAGCAAATAATACACTTAGGACGTTCTTCGTTATCTATTGTAATGTAAGTAAAACCAAAATATAAACGTGTATCGTGTGTGGATAAGATAAGATAATCGTTTCTACAAACATTTTATCGGACATATAATTTATTTAAAAATAACAATATTTATAAATTTCCGACCACACGCCGCGCCGCCCTTGTTAAGTGCTTGCGCCTCCTTTGGGTGGCGCGCCATACAGTTTGGGAACCGCTGCACTAGACTTTTTACTATCTTTTATCTTAACCAATATTCTAGCGGAGTTTACAATCGCCCATATGGATTATATATTCAGAATTTAGCCTGTTTGGGACAACTAAACATCATAATATTTAAAAATCAAAATCAAGGGGGCCAGTTCGAGGCCACTGATTTTTTTTAGGGGGGCAGGTCCCCTAAGGCCCCCCTTGATGACGTGCCTGCATAGAGCGTTGTGTTAAAAATGGATAACGCTAGAAAACATTTTCAAACAAAGCAGAAAAATGTGTACGCCGTATACGATGTTTTTGCGTCAAAAATCACAAAACACGTACCTACGCATAGATTTCATTTTTGGTTCATAATTTTTTTTTTTGGATTTTTCACAATTCGAAATGTTTTGATTGATAATACTCATCGTGTTTACTTCCTCTCATTTAACTGAATCCTATTCCAACGCCGTTATATAATATACCGCGTACAGAATTTTTCGAGCTATAACTTTTCCTAGGATTTTCAACGGTTTTAAAAGCTTTGATTTGCAATACCGATCGTGTTCATTACGTTCCTGGTTCTCAATTCATCGCATACCAGCATTTAAATTGATACGAGTGTTTCGCAGACGTGTTTATTATTAATTTATTTCGAAAACCACGATTTGCAAGTTCCACTATGCCAGTTGCATAATAACGGTCCCCAATAATTTTACATGACTGTCGTTTTTTCCCCTCTTAATTGCACGCCCACCCCATGGTTATCGATGGATTTATAATATTTTTAGTTTTCCCTCTTATTACGTCTGTTATATGTTCCATCGCGCATACAAATATTCACTACCAACAACCGTTTATTCTATGATTTTATTACAGTATGCCACTCGGACTCCACGGTTAAAACTTTTAATTTAAATACAAACATGCTGTGTTATATTGGTCGGATACACGTTGCACTGGTGATGTTAAACCAAAAGTAATTGGTAAGCTGAATTTGTTCACAGTGATCGTAACTTTTTGGCAAAGTGAACAAGGTTCATGAACCCTTCTTATGAGACCAACGTAATATTTACGATTTCAACGAATCGGGATCGACTCGCGAAGTCTTATCAAACAGGGTTTTTCGGTCGGCAAATCAAGATTGAGTGTTTACGTGGGAACGAACCGATCGAATACAAGTCATCGTGATAAAACGAAACCGTATTAAAGTGTTCGTATTAACGACACCATAACGCAATTATATTAATAATTGTTGCGTAAAATTCTAATATATTAATTTACAACTACGTAATGGCAAAGTTATAATAATTTTTCAGCGTATTTGATGTTGCTACAGTCGTTAGATTAAATGTATTCACGTACATATAATTCCCTAAATCGATTGGACTGGAAACTGGAAAGAATTTTTAATTGAAACTTTATAACACGATTAATAGGATGAGAATTAAAGTAACTTCTACCAAGGTTTTTGAGTTAAGATTTTGTACAAATTGTTGTTTAGAAATACGAAACATCGGACTAAACTGAATGCTATTATAACTATCAATTGTAATTTTACTTATGATTTAAAATCAAAATTCATTATTAAATACCAGATATAAATGCGTTAATAATATCTTAAAATTACACTAAAAAGATGTCAAAATTGTAATGAAAAATGCATTCAAATTACATAGTAGAATCATATCAAATATATAATCATCAATTGCTTACATAAATAATATTATGGACACTATATACTATTATATTATTTACAAAATGTATAATTTTTTTGAAATAAAATCTATATTTATATACACCTCTAAATTGTATTCTTGAAAATTGTATCGTATATTACTTAAAATATTTTTATATAATAAAAAAGTACGTTCAACGTCTACACTTGGTATCAGTGCATATTGAAAATCGTTTAAAAATTTGATCTTATATCTAAATTAACATTTTGATTTTCTGCTAAAAGCTCAGAGTAAGTTGTAATAGTTCTATATCCTTGAATTTTTTCTAAAACATATTTTAATTTCTCTTTAAAAATTTTCTCATTGAGACCGCCGGGAATATTTATCAAAATATTTAACTACATGTAAAAAAAAAATTTACGTCGTAGTTATATTTTTATTGTAAAATTACTTTAAAAATAATAATTTGTATATTTTATCACGTGAAGTATGCAGAATCTGCAAAATCGTTGTAAATTGCAAAATTGCATTGTTAAATTAAATAAGAATACTTTAATTAATCCAATTCGTATACATATTTGATCAGAATTGTAATTTAATCTTTTATGATTCCAGTTTATGTATTATAACAATATAAACTAGATTGAACATTTTTGTACATTTAGTAAATAATTAAATTGTATTGGTAAATATGAGTTCTTATTTGATCGGATAATAAATTATATAAGTTCAAATATAAAACCTTTTTAATAAAAAAAATATATATGCAGTACCTACATACGAAATGAAAATACCTATACAAATAAGCAAATGTCTTTATATCTTTATGCATTGACTATATTGACATATAATCGGCATTAGGTTTTATTTTATATACAGTATGTGAAAAAATGAAAATGTAATATTACCAAGTCAATAAAAAATGCATTAAGGCTTGACATTATAATTGTACGTATAAGTATTGCTGTGTGAACCATATAGAGAAAATCATTGAAAAATCAAATCAAATGTCCTTGTAGAAAATAAACTATATTTTGTCAGTAAAACATTTTAATATGATATATTCGAATTGATTGTGATTTAAAAGCATAACAGTTTATTATCTACGTATAGTAAACGTATTAAAAGATAAATTTCTTCAATACTTCAGAGACATAATAATGTGATATGAAAATTGAAAGTTATTAAACGATTACAGTAAATAAAAGTAAAATAGTTTTATTAATTTTTTTGATATTTTTTTAAATCGGATAGAATAATTATTTATCAATCATGAAAGTTCTTATTTTTCGTTAATAATGTTTATGGAAATCTCTTTTAAATATATGTTTACTATAGTAAAGAAATATAGTATTATAGAAAATACTTTTATCGTTCTTATATTTATAAAAAGTTATTTAAACATATATTTTTTGCACATCCTACAATATTTTGATCTTTATTCTTTAACTATTATTAAATAATTTGTTATAAGTAGAGACCGGATTTTCATGCAGTAAAAATCAAAAAAAAGTGCATTTAATAACTTAAAAATTGCAAAAACACGCAATTAAGTGCCTGCTAACCTGCAAAAATTTATTTTTTGCCTAAAATCGCTTAATACTTTCCAAAATTTTGTAAACATTCAAAGTACATTGATTTAAATCCTTAAATTATACTTTATTTATCCAGTTTCTTACACTACTACAGGATTAGCAAAAAACTAATGAGTAATTAATAATTAAAAGTTTAATACAAGTATGTACATATATAAAAAAAACCATACTAACTGAGTTAAGCTATTTAATAATAATTTTAACTATTATACATACATAAAAAATTTATTTTTTGATTGAATTAAAATTTACAATATTATACATTTCAAAATTTTTTGCAGAAAAATTGTGCCTTCTATCACTCAATATGTCTTTTAATTTGGAAAATGTTCGTTCTACTTCAACAGAAGTGATAGGACTCATTTTGTAGCAAGCGAAAATTGCAGGCTATTGTTCACCATTTATATTTTTCGTACCATTTATGCAGTCGTTGTAATTTTTTTTGAGAGCGTAACCTGTGTTTTTTTCCACAACGGAGTTAAATTTGTGGGCCATAATTTGTCCTTTCTCGTTTTTTATTTTTTAAAATTTTCTCCTATAGTTATAAATATTTTAATTTGTTTATTGAGGAATAACTTTCGGGTTTCTACTGGGTTAATGCATGGGGAAAGTTGACAAATGTGATTTTTATGAAAGTCTAATCAGAAATTATTCACGCCGAAGTTATGATTCTTTTCAATTTTAAAAACGTCTTCATCCAATGTATTAATAAACATTTTAAATTTATTAAAATTTTCCGCATAAAATAAAGCTGCTTCTAACCATGTTCCCTACCTTGTGATCACAGGCTCCGGTGGTAGTTCACTTTCCATAATATTTTTATATATCTCTACTCGGTGCGGTGATTTAAGCAATATTTTTTTCCCATTATTTACCAGCTTGTTTACTTCTAGAAAATTTTCACAGACTTTTGCTAATACTCTATTTAACTCGTAGGCTACACAGGTTACATGGATCATGTTTGGGTAGAATGTTTTCAAAGCTTGTCCAGTTTTTATCATATAAGGTGCCGTGACTGTTACAAGGAGAAGCACTTTATACTGATAATCCGAATTTTGAAAAAAAAATTCATCAGATTGTCATTAATAAAATGAGGGACAGTAACATAATTTGTTTTAGGCTGATCCTTACAGGTAATTAAAAATGGTGTGAGATCAATTTCTTGGTGAAGAATTCCAACCAAAAGGTTACACATATAAAGTCCTCTAGCATCAATGATCTCATCGACCATGACGTATATATAATGTTTTCCAATTTTAATCATAGTCGAGTCGAAACAAACTTGCAGATACTTTTTCCTGAGTGTGCTCTCGTCAGGTATACTTTTATTTGTATATTTTTGTAAAAAGGATCTAAACGGTAGGTACTGCAGTTTGAAAAATGGTATATTTGCTCTTACTAAAGCCTGGCACAAATCGATATAAAATTGGTTTTAGCTGCTTAATGTTTCAAAAGAATCTATAATTTGATGTTGTATCAGCTTGTTTATTTTAGTTTTAATTGATTCTCGTGAATAGTTAACGAAAAAATAATAATAAAAAGTTGATGCCTAATTCTTAAACAAAAATATTGTTTCTTACCAATGTTACAATGAGCATCAATTTGAGATTTCCTTTCACATCCGATTGACTTTTCACAAGAAGCGCAGAAGACAGATTTCCCATCAAATATCAACTCTGGGTAATTTGATATCCAGGTTTTTAAATTTTGACTACAGACTTGACCCAATTTTTGGCATTTTATAAATGTGTTTATACTTCTTTACGTAAATTATTCATAATGAAACTATCATGACACTAACCAATTCAAGAAACACTCAAACACAAAGTCAGACAGAAACTAAAGAGCTAATGGCCGGGGATTCCATTCATTATCTAACTAGTAGTTGCTATCATTTATTTTTACCACGAAACACTAATAAATTGATGTTATTCTAAGAATATTAGCAGCTTGGGTTCATTTTTTCCTCTTGTATAGTTGAAAACTGAAATAAACAAATATTTACGTACATACAGGTATGTACGTAATATAATTTTATATACATACCTGGCTACCTATATACATATATATATATATTATCTAGTTTAAATTTAAAAATAAAGAATATTTTTATGTAATTTCATGCAACGAAAATCAAAATCGTGCAATTTAGAATAAAAAGTGCAAAACGTGCAATTTCGTGTAAAATAAAACTACGTTTAAATTAATCTGTTTCTCATGATTAGGATTTATAATTTGTTTTTATTTAAAGCAAAAGAAAAAAACTTGCAATTGCACGAGAATTCGGTCTCTAGCTATAACCTATTGGCATCTGAACGGTGGGCGTGGTCTATCTTCAAACGAGGTAACCGTTGAGCGGCGGCTTACGCTATACCACGTGATAATGAAAATTTTTTGAAAATTGTTAAATATTTTCATTTTTCAATCATAATGGGTTAATATTTTAATTTATACAATATACATATAATTTTGCAAGCATTATTACCTAAATTTATGCTTTAAATAAATGTTATCTAAGCCCTATACATACTGTACTCTATATTTGCAATACTAAAACAGAATTTCTATTAGAATAATACTGTTACAACAAATATATTGCTTATCTTACATATAAGAACATCGTGATTGTACATAATAGTTATTATTATTATCAAATAAAAATAATATTTTAAGTTGTCATCACGGCTGCAGAACTACAGCTGTGGTTGTCATATTATTTTCAAAATATTCTAATGATAATGGTCAATTAAAAGTTACTGCAAATATTTTCTATTATTGAATAGGATTGATAAGACTAATAATATTGGATCAATTTATTACGATTTATAATTAATAACCTAGTATTTATGAATTATAATATATTCAAACAAATCAGAATGTTTTAATATCTTACAATATCTCACACACATAATAATATTATGAAATTATGTAAATATATAATATAAATATATTTCATAAATCATATTAATATAATGTAGTTTGTGATGGTATAATTCTACGAGTATAATATAATATACCTACAATCTAAAATCAAGATAATATAAGATTGTGCACCATAATAATAACTGTCATCGATGATTACCTCAATTAAGTAGTAACAAATAAAACCACCAGATCACGTACCAAATCTGAGCAGATGCTAATAGGTGCTTTATGTAATATTTCATCGCTGACAATTAATTTATGTACGAGTATAAGCTGTAAGCTTAGAGGAGGTCAGTACCTAATCAAATCCTTAAATATACAACACTAATAAATGTAATGTGATTAATTGATTGAAAAATTAAAAAATAAGTGATATTTGGTTTTATGCGTATATTATGACCTAACGTACTGAGCGTTTGATAAATATACATTGCAATAATGAATAAATCATTCTCTGGTTTTTCAGAATATTCATGATTACTTAAAAATATTGAAAAAGGATAAAATACAATAAAATAATGGCATTATTAATTTAGTTATACACAAATATACGGTTCGGGGTTATGGGTGAGTCATTTTGGTACTATCCTTCGCTTTAATGTATTTTGTAACAATACATTTTATAGATATACACTTGTCTTTATAATGTTCAACGATTAAATATTGCGATGGAGTTCAATTAAAAAAGTATTAAGGTATATAATTACTTATGGAATTAATATTTATGTACACTATACGGTTCATTATTGATTACAATTTTAAATCACATAGAAACAAAAATTACACATTTTTAAAAAAAAAAAATCTTGTGTATATTTTGTTAAAAATATATTTGCTTATCTTATAAAAAAAATTAGAAATCGTTAGTAAATTTTAAGAAATAATATCTTCTTACTAAGGAATCAATTTTTAGTTAAAATAGATAAATGTGAATTTTGAGAATTCACCATTTTATTAAAAATAATTTTCCAAAAACTTCAACCAAGATCGAGATTCGATCTCGCTGCACCGCTTAGGATTTAGTTATGCAAATTTTTTTTAGTTATATTTATTGTGTTTTATGAGCACTTTTTCGGCTATAAAAATTACTACGATCATTAAAATTAATTAAAGTTCATAAACCTCATATACGTTTACTAACTACTATTACTTATTGTTTATTTAGTATTCTGAAAGAGATTATTTCACGAATTTTCCAATCATGTTCTAAATAACTACGAAAATTTATAAAGAAAAATAAAATACTACGATTTATTGTCTAATACTTTAAGACATAATCGAAATTTTATTTTCATTATAATTTAAAAAATAATAGTCATAGAAACTTGAAATTTTCAATAAATGGTCATATGGTGTATGATTATATATAATATATGCTTATATGATGTATGCTTTAAATAGTATAATTTTAAAAAGATTTGTTCGGAACTTTAAAAATTTTCAAATTATTTTGATTTTTTTAACAATTTACAAATAATCAAAAATTTTACGTTTCTTATCTTTTTTTTCATAAAATGTTGATAAAATATTTTCAGACGAAGAAAAAGTCTTGAAAATGTAATTAAAATCTAATGAATAAAATAATATTGTGCTTCGATTAAAAAAAAATGTATTAGCAACTCAATATTTAGTGTTGTAATGTGCGAACAAAAGCAAATTAAAAAAAAAAAAAAAATTGGAAGGTCACAATAAAGTTTAATGAGAGTTAGAAAATTAAATTTCGACTAAATAAGATATTTAAATAAATAAAAATTATTCATTAATAGTTATTTGGTTTTTTATATTATAAAATATATTAATCTTATATAGTTATTCAAAATATTTAAAACTTAGTATTAACATTAGCTTTTTTTTAAACTAAGTAATAATTTCGAAATATTTGAATGAAATTAGTGCTGTATATAGGCAATTTAAATTTTCGATTTTTCCCAAACTTTAATCGATTCATGACCAGTGTTGGGAATAGATAATACAAAATTTATCTAAATAAAGATAAAAGATAATATGTCTCAATTGATCTAGATAAAGATAATAGATAAAAAAAAATTAAAATATCTAGATAAAGATAAAAGATAATTTCAATTTTATCTAGATAAAAAAAAATATATTTTCAAAACATGTTATTTTTTGGTCAATATTTCATATTTTAATAATATCGATGAAGGCTTAATCATAATCAGGGGTGTATTTAGGAATGCCTTATGAAGGTGGGGGTGGGGGGGGGTGCAAAAATAAAAAGTTCAAAGTATACATAGTTATAACTTTTCCATCTCAAAAAACTGTCGTTATTCATAACCAAATAATCAAAATACAAGTATTTGATAGAAACATAAACTTTTATTACATAAATTTATAATAAAACATATTTTTAAATATAATTTTTGTAATTACAATAACTGAAGACGTCTGGGGTGTTTATTAACATATGCATCAACTACTTCTTCAAGTTTTATAATTATTTCAGGGTGTATACAATGCTAATCCGTTTAATCGATGGTATCATGATATATTGATATTCCAGTATTTCACCGTGTACCCGTGCGTGAAAAATAAGAGGGCCCACAATAATACATCAAGTATAAAATACGGTGAATGGGGGGGGCACGGGCCCCATAGGCCCACCCTTTAAATACGTCCCTGATTATAATCATTATTATCAATAGGTGCCTAAGTGTTTAATGTTTGTTGTAGTAATGTAGTTTACCATTAAGCAGTATTTATAAATATTGTACAATATTTAATGACAGTTAATCACTAAAATGTTAACAAAAAAAAAAAAAAAAATGAAAATTGCTTTGTAATCAGGATGAATACAGAATACATAAAAAAATATTTTAAGTTAACAATATTGTTTTCCATATAATATTAATATGATAATTTTCATTATTTTATAAGTAGTTACGACTTTACGGCTTCCAATTGTGAAGTAACGACTATTCAGCGTATGAGTGACATGTGTATTAAAATCAAATACCTACTATATTTGGAACTTCCACTGAAAAATAAGAAATTAAGTTTAAAAATACCAAAAATATTTTCTCGATATGAAAATACAAATAAAATGTCATTCCAAGAAATAATAATTACTTCTTAATAACACACGAATTATGATTATGAATACAAAATCTAAATATGTAAAAGAAAGTCAGGTTATTTATAGAATTTATAATTCAAGAACGGCTGGACCGATTTCGATGATCTCTGATTTGTTGGATTCATCTCCGTACAAGAATAAAAATAACTCTAATCTTGGCAAGAATACAGACAATTATCTAGATAAAATTATCAAGAGATAAATGAAAATTA